TACCAAAGAATAATATGAACCATGAGGACAGATGAAGGTTTTTCACACCCCAAATCAGCTAATGCTATTGTTTAAAACTGCTTTCCAAAAATAATTTTTTCATGCCTGTAAAAAGCTTTAAAATAGTATTTACACAAATCCAAAGCAATTGACTTAGTGTGCCTTTTCTCATTCTTTTGGAAAATTATTTAAATAAATTGGGGTAAGATTTATTATTTTGCTCACAATTATGATTTGGAAAAGTGCCTGCCTTGCTTATATGATGGCTTTAATAAGATGACTTGTTACATTCCTACTAATCATCTGCAGAAAAGGAAACCACTTTTCATTTGGTTTTTGCTTGGCTTCCAGAAAAATCCCACTTTTAATGAAACAAAAGAATTCAAATGCATTACTTTGCAAATTACAATTTGCAAGCACTCTGTGATGAATGAAGGCTGTTTCATTTCATTCCACACATTCTCAGAGTTCCTCTGCAGATAATGCTACTTGTATACCATAAGTGGCCAGCATCTCTCTACAAAAAGGGAAAAAGGAAAACTGAACTGGGGAAAAACATCTATAGCAATGGGATATTGTCATGGTCCTCTGAATCACGGATTTTAGATAAAGAAATGGCAGAGAAGTGTTTTACATTTGGAGGTAGGTTTTCTCATTACATACATTCTCCTGAATGCAATGTTCCCATTGATTTCAACTGGGGTAAAAGCCAGATACTCAAAAGGTGAGCGTAGACCAAGAAAAATTGCAACATATGATAGTGATTTGGAATCTCTCCAATGCTTTGCTCCAGTATAGTTTGAAAGTCTCCAAAGCTTACTGGTTTAGAGCCCAGGGATCTTGGGTAATCTCTTCCAGGCTAAAATGGAACATGCAGTTGTCTGTTCTCTGTAATGCTCTCCCTGCGCATATGCAGCTACATTGTGCATTCTGGACCCAATCCACTATGCTCATTAGCTTTATTTAAAAATACATCTATTGCCTGAAGACACCTGGGTACATCCACAGAAAGTGAATAATTGCAAGAATTGAATGAAATTAAGCACCCCAGATCAGAGATGGTTTTGTGCAAGGAGAAGGCACAGCTGGTGCCCTTTTAGGTGAAATGAGACTAATTAGATAAGCTAGAAACCAATTAGATGGAAGTAGGTAAAACAAGTTACTATTTAGATAAAAGAGATGTGGTTCTCCAGCTTTGCGTAAGTAAAATGTGACGTAAGAAACTGGAATTCTGCTTGATATAAACTTTAGGATTTATTTTCCTTGTAATGGTTTAGATGTTAGAGCAAAGATGATCAACTTGGAGTTAGAGAGAGGCTAGATTTTCTGGTACAAGACAGCACATGCATGGGTCTAGCAGTCTCCTCAGTGAAAGCTTGAAGAATGTTTTTGGTTACGTCACTTCCAGTTAAACATTCTTTGAAAAGCAAATGGATTTTATACCTAATTCTATTCAGCAAATCATGTGGCTATACGGTCAACTCAACTGAAAGCCTTAATTATGCTGCTAGTAATGGAGTCGTGTGCAGAGGTAAATGTCCTTTGCATATTTAGCACATTATGAAGGCACACACTGGGAATAAATCTTCTGAGAGTGTCATTGTATTAGCACGAAACTACTCTGATCTAGTCTGATCTATAAGATGGCTGGTCAAACTAGGGACACCAGCTGTCACCTGTAATAATGAAATTAATAGGACCTTTGGGTGGAGGGTGGGAAATTTACCACATGGCCTCATTTCTAGAGGCCTCTAATCAACAAGCCTCAAGAGCTCTGAGCCAAGATAAGATGATATTTGCTTTTCATGGCATCTAACATTCGATGCAATAATTAGAAAGAGACCACTGGTCCACCAGATGGTCATGGTATCCCCATTGTATTTCCAGTCTGTTCCAGTGCCTAGTACTGGTTGATCATCAGTAAATGTGCAAATATTATGGCACCAGCAGGGACATAATACGCCCTACCTAAATCATAGCAGGCTCTTCCCTTGAGAAGTTTCCTGGGTGGAAGGGAGCTGCTGCAGGACCAGTATGAGAAGAGGAAGGAACCATACCCTCAGCTTGCTCGGGCCACTGAGAAGGACCTGCCTGTTCCACTGCAGGAGGACAGGACTTAGCACTCAGAGCAAAGCAAATCAGATGAAGGAACCTCGTGAGGCTCCCTCTCTGAGTCCAAAGGGATGTGTTCCTCTCCTAGAGACAACCAAAGGAGGGCTGACCTGCAGAGTGCAGCCTTGGAGAGCCCTGCCACATCGCCTCACCTCATTGTTTCATCTTCTTTCTTCCTGTCGGTTCTTCATCATGGTTGCCATTCAGCAGTCTCCCGACTCTGTTTGTTACCCACATAGTTGACCTCCCATCCTGATATGGATGCTCTTGAGGCACGAGGTGAGGTTCCCCCCAGCTCCTGGCTTGAGAGGATGATGTGGAGTCAACTGTCCCCTACTGCATGATAGTTTAAAGCAGCCTTCCCTGAACAAGGAAACTCAGCTGAGAAGATAGAGCTAACAGTGGCCCTACTCACTCGTTGATAATGTCATTCCCGCTCACTCGCCTATCCCACCCCTACAGTCCAAATGCCCCAGGCTTCAGGACCAGGCTGAGTCATGGGGCAGGACCCCAAAGGAGAGTCAGATGCCATCCCAGGTCAGCTCTGGTGACCTGGTCAAACTTCAGGGCCCAGGTTCAGAATATCCTGCTATCTCTCTCTGGAACTGACCTTGGAACCTCACCCTCATGGTGGTGTCCCTGAGGAAGGGAGGATGCTGGCCCTGGAGATCTCTGGTGGGTCCCAGCAACTACCTTCCGGGGCTGGCACACAGGAGGCAGTCGGCACTTTGTTAATCTGTTCAATCGGTCTCTTTCCTCCTTCCAGATATGGTTCTCAGATGTGTGTGTGTGCGTGTTTTGGGAGCAGAATTTTTTTTTAAACTGTGGTAAAATATACATAACATTTACCATTTTAACAATTTGTAAGTACACAATTCAGTGGTGTAGTATTAAGTCCGTTCGCATTGTTTTGCAACCATCAACATCTATTTCCAGAACTTTTCATCTTCCCAAATGAAACTCCGTCCCCATTAAAACACAAATCCCCCAGCCCCCAGCCCCTGGCAAGCCCCAGTCTACAGTCTGTCTATGAATTTGACTTCTCTAGGGACCTCATGGAGGTGGAATCATCCTTTTCTGTGTGCTTTATTTCAGTTAGTATGTTTTCAGTGAATCCGTGTTGTAGCATGTATCAGAATTTTGTTCCTTTTTAAGGGTAAATAATGTTCTAGTGCATGTATATGTACCACATTGTGTTTATCCATTCATCTGTCCACAGACACTTGGGTTACTTCTACCTGTTGGCTGTTGTGAATAATGCTGCCATGAATATTGCTGTACATATTTGTTTTCGTTCCTGCTTTCAATTCTTTTTGGGCATACATTCAGAAGTGGGACTGCTGGATCATAAGGTAATTCTATGTTTAATTTTTTAGGAACGGCCATACTGTTTTCCATAGCAGCTGCACCACTTATCATTATTATTTTTGAGATGGAGTCTCACCCTGTTGCCCAGGCTGGAGTGCAGCAGTGAAATCTTGGCTCATGGCAACCGCTGCCTCCCAGGTTCAAGTGATTCTCCTGCCTCAGCCTCCCCAGCAGCTGGGATTACAGGCACCTGCCACCACCACACCCAGCTAATTTTTGTATTTTTAGTAGAGACTGGGTTTCACCTTGTTGGCCCGTCTGGTTTCAAACTCCTGACCTTAGGTGATCTGCCCGCCTCGGCCTCCCAAAGTGCTGGGATTACAGGTGTGAGCCACCGCGTGCAGCCAACTGCACCACTTTAAATTCCCACGTGCAATGAACAGGGGTTTCAATTTCTCTACATCCTCACTAACACTTGTTCGTTTCTGGGTTTTAAATAATACCCATCCTCTTGGGTATGGTTTTGATTTGCATTTCCTAATGACTAATGACGTTGAGCATCTTTTCATGTGCTTCGTAGCCATTTTTGTATCTTCTTTGGAGAAATGTCTGTTCAAGTCCTTTGCCCATTTTTAAACTGGGCGGTTTGCTTTCTGTTATTGTTAAGTCGGCAAATGTGTTTTTGATCTAGATTGAGAAATCTTTACCCGGGAAACTCTGAAGCAGTTAGCAGCCACGATCACGGCTGCATGACTGAGCTCTAACTACGCCGCAGCGTCGCAAGCAAACGCCACCTAACACTCAAAAACTGCACAGTTCCCCAGAAAGGAGGTGAGTTTGGAGAGGCCCAGCAGCTCCATGTCACACAGCAATCGCACTGACATAAATGGCTCTTGAGGGCAAGGACTGGCAGGGCCTGGCTGCAGACTCGGGGACTCACGTTGAGGTGGCCCTGCTCACCTGGGGCGGCACACTGGAGTCACCGGGGCCAGCCTCCTAGAAGTCCCGATGCGCCCGCCTTCCAGAAATTCTGAGCTCTGAGATTTTTCAAAACTCCCAGGTCCAGTGGTTTTCGGCAACCGCGGGCACAGTAGCGTCACACGGGGAGCCTGAGAAAGGAAAAAGCCGGTCTGCCCAAGCTGTGCCCGCTCAGACCAATTCATTAGAACCTCTTTTGGGGGGTGGGTTTAGGAGGGAGCAGCAGCCGGGCATTAATATTTTTGAAAACTGCCCGAATAACTGCAACGCTCAAACAAGTCAAGGACCCTCACGAACTCAACACCGCGACCAGATTGGAAAAGGTGTCAGCTGGCGTTTGTTGTTCGCGGCCTTGTTTGATTGGCTGGTACGGAGGAGGGACTGGCGCTGGGTGCCGGCGGGAGGCGGCTCCAGCCTACACCGCAGGGTGCAGGGCGGGGTCCGCGCATCCTCGGCGGGGCGCGGGGGTTGGGGGGCTGTGGCCTGCCGGGCTCCCCGCGCGCCCTCCGCGCCCCTGGGCTCGGGCCTGGCGGACTGGGCTCCCTCCCCGCGCCCCGCGCGCCCCTTTCTAAAGTAAACACCGGAGAGCGCCGGTGGCCGGACCGGTGCAACCCAGCGACGCCCACGGCCGCCGTTCGCTGCCCGCCTCGGTGCTGCAGACCCCGGGCCGAGCCATGGCCGAGGGGGTGCCTGCCTCGCCGTCGAGCGGCATCGTCCAGTGGTGAGCCGCCGGCGCCCGGGACGCTCGGAGGGAGGAGGTGGGGTCGGGGAGGGGAAGCGCCGTTCCCGCCGCGGCTGCCTCGGGACGCCGGGTGAAAGCCGGGTGCGAGGAGGGGCCCCAGGCCCAGCGCCTTCTGATGCCCGTCTGCCCCAGCGCGGAGGGACCTCACAGCCACGCACACCCACAAAAGCCCCGGGTCCGAGTCGGCTATGGGGCCGCGCTTCCCCTCTGTGGGCTCCCCGTTGCCACCTTTCCCGCGGGAAGCAGTCCCGTCCGCCCTGCGGGGGCCTGTTGCTTGGACCCTGCTTCCTTGTACCTCCAAAAGCGCCTGGACATTGGCCAGGGGAGGAAAAGCTTTCTCTCCCTAGATCCAGAAAGGGATATTTCCTGATTTAACGCTAAAGAGTTTTTAGTTTTAGCAATGCATTACACATTGTTTGTGAAATTAACTTCTAGCTATTTAAATTGAAGCAGGAAAAAAAGGGAAAGAAAAATACCCTTACCCCTTGGGACTGAGAAACTCATGGGGTTGCAGATCTTCTTAAATAGGAAAATTGAAACCAGTTCTAGGACCTTTAGTTTTACAAGGTGAATAACTGTTATATAACAGACTACATTTTTCTGTTTTTAAGTTTCAAAGCATATTTCTCAGGGAAGACTTTTGAAAAAATCATGTGAGTAAAACAAAAATGAAGGGTGTGTTTGTGATTATAACTCCGGCAGACCTACAGTTACCACTTTTCTCCAAAAGAACATTTTTGGTATGTCATCACTGAGAAAAAAAATCAAACGAATAAATATTAAAGCATACAGCGTTTTTCAGTGTTACACAGGCGGGCTGGATTTCTGCTATGCTCACTGACCCAGGACCCTCATGCATTGTTCTTCGAAAAAAGGACTCAGGATGCTTTTCAATGACTTCAGGTCGCCATTTAGAAAATTAGAGTTTCCAGGGTTTGACTTATGCTACAGAGATTTGAAAGAATGATGAGACTGATTAAAAAATACCTGGACTCACGCCTGTAATCTCAGCACTTTGAGAGGCCGAGGCAGGCGGATCCTTTGAGGTCAAGAGTTCGAGACCAGCCTGACCAACATGGTAAAACACCGTCTCTAGTAAAAATACAAAAATTATCCGGGCATAGTGGTGTGTGTCTGTAATCCCAGCTACACAGGAGGCTGAGGCAGGAGAATTGCTTGAACCCAGGAGGCAGAAGTTGCAGTGAACTGGGATTATGCCACTGCATTCCAGCCTGGCGACAGAGCGAGACTCCATCTTGAAAAAGAAAAATACCTGAGCATCCTCCTAAAACCAGTTGTGAACTCACTTCAAATAGTAACCAAGGGGCCCTATTATTATGATGCTCTAGACCAAGCTTGTCCTACCTGCAGCCTAAGGGCTGCATGAGGCCCAGGATAGCTTTGCATGAGGCCCAACACAAATTTATAAACCTTTTTTTTTTTTTTTTTTTTTGGTGATGGAGTTCTGCTCTGTTGCCCAGTCTGGAGTGTGCAGTGGCACCATCTTGGCCCACTGTGACCTCCGCCTCCTGGGTTCAAGTGACTCTCCTTTCTCATCCTTCCAGAGTAACTGGGATTACAGGCCCGTGCCACCATGCCCTGCTAAGTTTTGTATTTTTGGTAGAGACGAGGTTTCACCATCTTAGTTAGGCTGGTCTGGAAGTTCTGCCTTCAAGTGATCTGCCTGTCTCAGCCTCCCAAAGTGCTGGGATTACAGGTATAAGTCACCACACAGGGCCTTCATAAACTTTCTTAAAACAGTATGATTTTTTTTTTCTTTTGCTCATCAGCTATCACTAGTGTTAGTTATTTTATATATGACCCAAGACAATTCTTCTTCCAGTGCGGCCCAGGGAAGAAAAGATTAGATACCCCTGGTATAGACCATTTTAGCAGAGAGTCTGACCTATTCAAGTCCCATATTACAAGTTCCTATTCCTATAGGCCTCTCTTCAAGGTTGGGGGGTGGAGGCAATGGAAATGAGGGAGGGGTCACCGTTCACTTCGAGGGCTGTCCTTTAGGCATCCAGTTGATGAGGTGGTATGTTTAACAGATTGTTGGGGTCAGGCGCCGTGGCTCATGCCGTAATCCCAGCACTTTGGGAGGCTGAGATGGGTGGATCACTTGAGCTCAGGAATTCAACACCAGCCTGGCTAACATGGTGAAACCCCATCTCTACTAAAAATGAAAAAATTAGCTAGGAGTAGTGGCACGTGCCTATAATCCCAGCTACTCAGGAGGCTGAGGCAGGAGAATAGCTTGAACCTGGATGGTGGAGGTTGCAGTGAGCCAAGATCATGCCACTGTGCTCCAACCTGGGCAATAAGAGCAAAACTCCATCTCAAAACAAAACAAACAAACAAACAAAACAGATCATTGGCACTAGTGGTTTTAACATCATCAAAACAGCCTCTGGGCCGTGTTCCAGAGCTGGAAGATGTTGCGAACAACCACAGTGGGGAGTGCAGGGTGAGGAGTCTGCACTCTTAGTTAGCTGTCTCTAACCCAGAGACAGCTCCTTTAGCTAGCATCTGAATGAAAGACCAGGGAGGGGCCCAACTGTGGTTCTGTGGAAGAAACATGCCATTTTCCACATTAGTTCGTTGTTTTGTCTTCTCATCAGTCACTTGGTAGGTCCCCAACATGCCTTAAAGACATCAGTGCCATTGTCATCCACACTGGATAAATTCTCCCAGGAGAAAGGTCCCAGGAGAGCTTGGCCAAGTCTCAGGGGTCTAGAAGGTTTCTGTTTCATAGACAGGAAGGACTGTAGAAATGGGGAGAGATGGGGTTAAAGCTCTGGGGAGCACACAGGAATGAAGAACAATGATCTGACTTCCTTGCTGGGGTGCAGACACAGCAGGTCTGACTCCTGGCTTCAGACTCCAGGCAAAACCTAAGAATTACCTAATCCCAACGCATGCTGAGCCCTGACTATAGACTACATAACTATTTCCCACATAAACTTTTACAAATTTCTGCAGACTGTTGAAATTTTCAAAATACCAATTTATTTGGAAAGGTGCAGAATTCATGGTTTTATATATATATATATATATATATATATATATATATATATATATATATATTTTAAAGATGGGGTTTCACCATGATGGCCAGGCTTGTCTTGAACTCCTGACCTCAGGTGATCCACCCACCTCAGCCTCTCAAAGTGCTAGGAATACAGGCGTGAGCCACCATGCCCGGCACTCATGGTAGCTTTTGATCAGCCAGAACCAAAAGGTCCTGTAATTCCTTGTGTGGGGGCCACAACATTTTTCTTCTTTCTTTCTTTTATGTTTTTTCTTTCTTTTTTTTGAGATGGAGTCTCTGTCTCCCAGGCTGCAGTACAGTGGAGCAATCTCGGTTCACTACAACCTCTGCCTCCCAGGTTCAAACAATTCTCCTACCTCAGCCTCCTGAGTAGCTTGGATTACAGGTGCATGCCACCACGCCCAGCTAATTTTTGTATTTTTAGTAGAGATGGGGTTTCACCATGTTGGCCAGGCTGGTCTCGAACTCCTGGCCCCAGGTGATCTGCCTGCCTCAGCCTCCCAAAGTGCTGGGATTACAGGAGTGAGCCACCATGCCCAGCTGCTTGTGACATTTTTCTTTAAAACATACTCAGAAAATGTGTGAACCACTGGCTAAGAATTTGTGCTCTGAAGTCAGCAATCATCAGATCGTTCATCACTCAAAACAAGGAGAACATCATGAATGTTCTCAAGATCTTAATAATCCACCTTGTCTGATGGCAAGACCAGGAAAACAATGTCATTATGCAGCTAAGCAAGGAATCTAGTGATCTGATTCACTTCAAATGTAGACAGGCTTTATTGCCAGGTATATTGCCAAAGGACATTTTGGTGGCAGAATATAAAACCCTTAACCGGTATCACCTGCCAGCAGTTCTGCCAGTCCCCATTCAGTCTCTCCTTGGAGCCCCAGCTGGTTGGAAGTCAGGCTCACCTACAGCAGGTGCTCTGTGCTGCCACTCTGCCAACATCAGCATCTTTCTTGCTTCCGTTCCAGATTTTGATGGTAGACATAAAAATGATAATAATAAGAGCTTCTATGTGCATTCTAGGGTACTAGGCACCTCACGTACTTGTTTTCTAATCACAAACACTCTCAGGTGTCTCAGAGTCAGAACAGAAACCTGGGTCTTTGAGGTTTAAAGCCCTGGGGCAACAGACATGATGGTAATTTCACATGTGTGCGGACATTGAAGGCTGAGGCAACTACTGGGTGACAAAGTCCACTTTCAGACCTTCTGTTTGTCCAGTTACTGTATACTGACTGACTGCCACTGGCCAGTCTCTGCGATTTGGCTTAGAATGTTGGGCAAATGACCACAGACACGTGGTCAGAAACAGGATGAATCTCTTGGAACTGCCAGGATCAAAGCAGCCACACAGTGCTCACATCACTCATGGCCCTTTCTTTGCATGTGTGGCACAGGAAGGACTCTTGGCCACAGACCTTCACTGTTACTCTTAATATGAGTATTATTTGGCCTTCCTACTCCACTCAGGTAACAGGCAGGCTCAGTAGTATCATTTTGAAATTGAAAGACAGCAATTCATAGAGACAGAACAAATGAGCGTCTGTCACAAGAAAGAACAATCTGCAAACATTGAAAGAACAATCCACAAACTCATTTTAAGGAGTTTGTATTTTTTACACTTCTTTTTTAAGGAGATGATTCCCTAACTAAATCTGGAGTAACTATGAATAAACAGAAGTGAGTCTGAATTCAATGCACATCACATTTTGCCACAGTTTCCCGGATTTAGCCAAAATTTATCTGTGATACTTCCAATATTGAGTTTTTCACATATCAACAAGTAGTGTCTTAAAAAAGGAATATAAGCCAGGTGTAGTGGCTTGTGCCTGTAATCCCAGCACTTCGGAAGGCCAAGGTGGGAGGATTGCTTGACGACAGGAGGTCAACACCAGCTTGGGCAACATAGTGAGACCCTGTCTCTAACAACCAAAAAAAAAATTTTAAGTGTCTGGACATGATCACGTGCCTGTAGTCCCAGCTACTCAGGAGGCTGAGGCAGGAGGATCCCTTGAGCCCAGGAGTTTGAGGGTGCAATGAGCTATCATTGCACCACTGCATTCCAGTCTGGGCAACAGAGGGAGACTTTCTTTCTCTCTCTCTCTCTCCCCCGCCACCCTCTCCATGTATATATAGAGAAAAGCAAATGTCAATAAGCAAATGTATTATCTGTAAAGTCTTTGCTAAATAAATATTCCTCTTTGTTTGAGATATATATATAACTGCATGCTGACTACATATGGAATCTGCCACTCCCACTCCCCACCATCTCACCAATAGGTATTACCCTGTGCTCAATCTTAAGCCAAATAACTGATGGATTAGCAGCTTCATTAAGTGTCAGGTTCCCACACTGATTTTTGGGAAGCATCCCAGAAAATCTACTTCCTTGGTGCCTGTAGTGGGTTGAATTATTTATTTATTCTACTTTATTTATTCATAAATAAATAAATATCTATTACTAATAAATATTATTAATAAGTAGATATTTATTTATTTCACTTTATTTATCCCCCCAGAAAAACTCATGTCCACCCAGAACCTCACAAAGTGACCTTATTTGGAAATACGATCTTTGCTGATGTAATTAGTTAATTGAGGTCATGTTGAATTAGGATGGGCTCTAAATCCAATCACTGGTAACTTGATAAAAAAATTCACAGAGATGCTTGTCGTGCGTGGTAGCTCACACCTGTAATCCCAGCACTTTGGGAGGCTGAGGTGGCTAGATCACTTGAGCTCAGGAGTTCGAGACCAGCCTGGCCAACATGGCAAAACCCCATCTCTACTAAAAAAAATACAAAAAGGAAATAAAATAAAATTCACGGAGATATGGACACACAGGAAGAAGGCTTTGTAAGACACCAGCAGAGACTGGAGTAAAGCCGAGGAACACCAAGGATTTCCGGCAATCACCAGAAACAAGGAGAAAAATATCAAGTAGGATCTCCCTCAGAGCCCCTGGAAGGAACCAACCTTTCTGGTACTTGGATTTTAGACTTCCTGCTTCTAGAACTGTGAGAATACATATCTGTTGTTTGAGGCCACTGGGCCTATGGTAATTTGTTACCCCCAAAGAAGCATTGCAGGGCCAGAGATTCCCCCATTCCTTATGTCCATGTTACTTTTTTTTTTGGGAAGCCAGCGGGGTTAACAATTGTGACTATGTCCTTTAGTTGCCAAGGAAAGTAAATTTGGGCCTCAGTGCACCTCATTCCAGAAGATAAGCTGTGTACTATCCATACATAGCTTGGATAGGAGATGTATTGTCTGTAAAGTCTCTGCTAAATAAATATTTCTCTTTGTTTAAGAGTTATACTGGCTTGCTTTGTGTATTTTTTTTAAAGAACGACGGTCTATCCCAACTAGGAAAGGAAGGTTGGCTAGATGCCACTACGGACACCTTCTGACCCAGGTGACCTTCACCACTCACCCCCACACTCACATACTGCTGGAACAGGCAACTGGCTGTCCCCAGAGGCTGGGGGTGGTCTGTGAACCTCAGGTTGAGCCCCTCATTGCTAAGGAATACACCCTGCCCCCTGGCTGTATACCCAATGGGGAAGAAAGCAGAGCAAAATAATTCTGCCTCTCTTGGTGTCTCTTGGTGTCTTGCATTTTATACCTCATTGCAATTCAAAGAATTCAAACATCATGGCCTGCCCTAAAACCAGAGGAGTTTAAGAACCATGCCGGGCGCGGTGGCTCAAGCCTGTAATCCCAGCACTTTGGGAGGCCGAGGCGGGTGGATCACGAGGTCAAGAGATCGAGACCATCCCGGTCAACATGGTGAAACCCCGTCTCTACTAAAAATACTAAAAATTAGCTGGGCATGGTGGCGTGTGCCTGTAATCCCAGCTACTCAGGAGGCTGAGGCAGGAGAATTGCCTGAACCCAGGAGGCGGAGGTTGCGGTGAGCCGAGATCGTGCCATTGCACTCCAGCCTGGGCAACAAGAGCGAAACTCCTTCTCAAAAAAAGAAAAAAAAAAAAAAAAAGAAAGAAACATGTAAGCAACTGCTTCAGAGGAACAGGGATCAGAGAGGGAAGGATGTGTGAACCCTTGGCCTGAGTCACAGGCAAACGGGGCCTGGGGAGCCAAGCTGGCTCCTGCAGTCACCTGCAGGGGTGATAGGCTCTACCTGGGTATTGCTCTGTGTCTTATTCATAAAGTGGAATAAATAAGTCTCCACTTTCTAGTTATGTAGCTCTTGGCTGTAACCTTTATAAGGGTATATGAAACAGTGTCTGCTGAAGTCCTAACTTGAACTTCTTTTTAGCATGCCAACCTGCCAAGAAACAAAAAAACAGAAACACATTATGGACTTCTGATCTTCTAAAAGTCACAATCAAGTTACTTAACACTGGCATAAAAACAAACAGCTGGTGCCAGCTGTGAGCCTTGGCAGCATTCACAGGGTCTGACTTAATAAATTAGACATGTTGCATTTATTGGGACCTCACATAGGTCTTGACCATTGATTTTGTCAAAATATTTTGCTCTAGAAAAACAAATGCCAATTTCCTCTTCCTTGTCCTCCTCTCCTGCAGTTTGGTCGACAACTTCTGCGTTCACGAAGGGTGCAGTGTGCCTCCCTGTCTCATGTATGAGATTTACGTGGAGTCCTGTGGGCAAAATGCTGAGAACCAAGTCAACCTGGCCACCTTTGGGAAGGTGAGTTGAGAAGATTAAGAATGCTCTATTCACTGAGTGCAGAAAAGGGAAGCAAGTTAATGGAAGAAATATTGAAATGTATTTGGGTCTAATGGGTTTTCAGTGGGTATCTCTGGCTTCCTTCCCACCAGCTGGTAAACATCCTTCAGCTTATTGAAGAGTCATTCTGTTAGCCATTTCCCTTTGTCCACACTTCATAGTGAGGGGCCAGGAAGGATGAGGAATGGGGTAGCACCTAAGGGAATGTAATTATGGCAGCTCCAAGCACTCCTCAGGGAGCTGGGTTTGCTGGGCTGCTATTCCCTGCATAGAATGCCAAGCTCTGAGAGCTGCTTTGGCACCACACAAGCTCTGAGAGCCGCTTTGCGGTATAGGACAACTGATATTTCTCACAGTTTGATTGTACTGAGAGAACTCATTGACTCTTAAAAGATTTCCTCTGGAGGCTAAGAATTTTTTTTTTTTTTTTTTTTTTTTTTTTTTTTTTTGAGATGGCGTTTCAGTCCTGTTTCCCAGGCTAGAGAGCAATGGCACGATCTCAGCTCACTGTAACCTCCACCTCCCAGGTTCAAGCAATCCTCCTGCCTCAGCCTTCCAAGTAGCTGGGATTATAGGCACCTGCCACCATGCCCGGCTAATTTTGTACTTTTAGTAGAGATGGGTTTCACCATGTTGGCCAGGCTGGTCTTGAACTCCTGACCTCAGGTGATCCAACTGCCTCGGCCTCCCAAAGTGCTGGGATTACAGGCATGAGCCACCACGCCTAGCCTCTGGAGGTTAAGATCTATATCCTGGAACTTTGTTTAAGACCACATACTGTACAGCAAACGTTAGCACAAGCATTGTCCAAGACCCTCTGCATTCAACAAATGTTTATTTAGCCACTGCTGTATGCCAGACTGAATACAATGAACAAAATAGATAAAAATTCCTGCCCTTAACTGAACTTCTGGTTGTCACAGCCGCCTAGTCCAGGCAGGTAGCATTCATGTCATTTCATGGTCCAGAAAACAAACCTGGAGTTATTAAAGCTAAGGGTCCCACAGCTGGTTGCAATATGTGGGTGGCAGATACAGCTTCTTGAATTGTGACTCAGAGTTCTTTCTACTTGGTCTTCCCCACAAATGTTTGTGAACTCAAAGAGATGTTGGAGGTCACCTTGTCCAAGTGTACACCCAATAGAAGATGTCTTCTAAAGCACCTTTGGCTGGGAGCCTCTTATGAGGACCAGGTGCCCTCTTCGAGCAGAAACAGTGCTGTCGGGGCATAGAGCTGGGTGAAGGGACGGCACATTTCTGCAAAGAAGATGATTCCCCTTCTGGGAAAACACAGCCCTATTCCAGGGTTTGTGGCATGGCAAAGAGAACACAGGCTGATGAAAAACTGCACAACTCCTCATCAGGGGCCTTGGAGCAGTTCATGACCTGCACAGCCATACCCCTGAGGGTGGCCATCTGGCTTGGATTTCAGTGATCTAGGTGACGAGGAGATTGTTCACTGGGCCACAAGGCTGCCAGTTCAATTTCCTCCCTCCCGTTCTTCCTTCTTTCCCTCTTTTTCAGTGGTCCTCAGGTGGACGGAATTGGATTGGTTAATGACACACTGTCTTCATTGAGGAATGCATGGTTTAAGAACTTACTTCAGTGGGTTCTTTATACAATGTGATAAGCGTCTATGAACTTGCCACCCAAAATGAACCATATTGCCAATCCCCCACATCACATCTCCTCGCCCTCCCTGCTGGTGGGAACCTGCATCCTGTTCATGGTGACCTTGCCTTTTGAAAAAGAAATTTAGTGCACTTATATGTATTGTTTAAAAGCCTATTTTAAATTTTTTTTTTTTTTTTTTCGAGACGGAGTCTCACTCTGTTGCTCAGGCTGGAGTGCAATGGTGGGATCTCGGCTCACTGCAACCTCCACCTCCCAGGTTCAAGCGATTCTCTCACCTCAGCCTCCTTAGTAGCTGGGATTATAGGCATCATGCCCGGCTATCTTTTTTATTTTTGCAGAGACGGGGTTTCACCATGTTGGCCAGGCTGGTCTTGAACCTGAACTCAGGTGATCCGCCTGCCTAGGCTTCCCAAAGTACGGGGATTATAGGCGTGAGCCACTGTCCTGGCCTATTTTATGTTTTTGTTGTTTAACTTTATTAAAAGGGATATTGTGTTGTTTGCAATCTTTGGGAACTTTTTTCACTTAATAGTATCTTAAGATTCATCAGAATTCAATGGCCCATTATGTAATATCTCACAATGTACTCATCCACTCTCTCATTGTTGAGCATTTGGGTTGTTGCCCCTGTGAACATTTGTGTATGTGTGTCCTGGTGTGCTTGTGCAGATTTTCTCTTGCATCTGTATGTCCAGGAATGAACTTGCAGAGTCAGTGGGTGCATGGCTGAGTGACATCAGAGGATGTGACCACACCGTTACCCTCCCCCGAGCAGTCCTGTGGATTTCAATTCTACGCAAAACATTGAAATGATTAGATCCATTCTTCCCAACAGTTTTCATTTTTGAAACTTCTGGTCACTGGTGGAAGTTCTGCACTTCTGATAATCACAGAATCTTCTAATATGGAAGCTGCTCACATATTTGAAACAACTGTTCACCCCTCCCTGTCCCTGTGCCTCCTTGCCCACCAGTTTTATTATGACTTCAATTATTGATGTTTCTCTTAAAGGTGGCCCAAGGGTGCAACCCACTCCCTCGGATGTGCTCAAAGGACACGAGCGCTTCCTTTTTTTTTGGCTACTATTGGCTTTTATTTTTCTCTATCTGTTGATTTCCCTTTAAGCTTGTAGTCAACAGAAACAACCCTAATGTACTTTTTTCTAAAGAGTTGAAATTAAGGTAAGCCTCCCAAAACAGTTTTGTTAACCGTGAAATATTAATACTCCATATAAATACAAAATAGCGTTATTGTCAGACTGTTAACATCATGTAATTAACTATTTGAACCCAAGAGTAGCTATTCTCTTCTTCCTATTGTATTTTACGTCTTCAGTTTCTTGTTTTGTTTTGTTTTGTTTTTTTGAGGTGGAGTCTTGCTCTATCACCAGGCAGGAGTGCAGTGGCGTGATCTCAGCTCACTGCAACCTCTGCCTCCTGGGTTCAAGCGATTCCTTTGCCTCGACCTCCTGAGTTGCTGGGACTACAGGCGCATGCCACCATGCCTGGCTAATTTTTTTGTATTTTTTTTTTTTAGTAGAGACAGGGTTTCACCATGTTGGCCAAGATGGTCTCAATTTCTTGACCTCGTGATCTGCCTGCCTCAGCCTCCCAAAGTGCTGTGATTACAGACGTGAGTTACCGCCCCCGGCCCCCTTTTCAGTTTTGACCTGCAGTTCTATTTCTCACCATCTTCTTGAATCACAGGTGGTTCATCCAGTCTTCCCAACCTGCTGAAGCAGCTATGTTTGAAAAGTATGTCTTTTATCAAGTCATCTTGCTAGGTGACCATGGAAGTGAAACAGCCTTACAACAGGTTTTCTCAATAGCTGGGAATTCCCCCAGCTGCTATCATCCAGCTCATATTTTGCCATTTAATCACTCCGAATATTGGGAAACATCATTCAAGACTGAGCTGAGTGCTGCGTGTCCTCGTCCTGCAGACTTTTCCTATCCAGCCATCTACCTACCACCCATATCAGAGGGAAGGGGGTGACTTTAGCTTGATGAGTTTTAGCTCCATGGGATTCCTACCTCCTTTATTAACATAGCAGAAGTTCTTGTTCACGATTGTTTAAAGATCTTATTATAAGGCTGTTTCACCTTATAATAAAAATTTTCACCTCCATGGTAATTCCACTGTAAAGCATTTTAAAAAATGCTAAAGAGATACCAGTGTGTGACAACATGCACTTAGGAGGCTTTTTTTTTTTTTTTTTTGAGATGGAGTCTTGCTCTGTAGCCAGGCTGGAGTGCCATGTCATGAATCTCAGCTCACTGCAACCTTTGCCTCCTGGGTTCAAGCAATTCTCCTGCCTCAGCCTCCCGAGTAGCTAGGACTACAAGGATGCACTACCATGCTCAGCTAATTTTTGTATTTTTAGTAGAGACGGGGTTTCAGCATGTTGACCAGGATGGTCTTGATCTCTTGACCTCATGATCCACCTGCCTCAACCTCCCAAAGTACTGGGATTACAGGCATGAGCCACCGCGCCCAGATGGGCATTTTTTAATCTCAATACTCTAGGATCCCCTTAGAATTCCCCAAGATGCCAAGGTACTAACTTTCAGCTCTTATTGGAAATTTGCCTGAAGAATGGGCCACATCAGTTGAGCTAGTATTGGGAAGGATCTCCGTACTGCTGAATTTGTGACTAAATGGAGAAGGGAGGGGAAAGGAAAAGGATATGATCCCTCAGTGTGTTTACAAGAGAAACAACAAAATCCGAAATTCTCACTTCCTCCCTCTGCCCCTGGGAATGGAGTCGGTTTCTTGCCAGGTTCCTGTGCAGATGTTGGAATGTTTCTCGCTCTTTGTGGCAGTACTGGGCATATGATGGTAAGGCTCATTCCTGGTACAAGTGATATTTTATATGGATTAGGGAATTTCCGGAAGGCCAACTTCCTCATTTGAAATAACATTTAGTGATGTTGTTCTGATTATGAAAGGACTACATCCCCTTTGCAGGAAATGTGGAAATTAGAGGAGAATGTGTAAAAAAAAGAAAATGAACGCCGGCTGTCACTTCCCTGTCCAGAGATATAGGCACGTGTGTGTAGTTCATTTGCAGACGTGCACACTCACTCATGCACACATATAGGACTGGCAGGAACTGGAGGGGTAACCACATGGCGACTTTGTCTTCCTGTTTTGTGTCTGAAGGTGCCCAGTGGCTAGTTCTTCTCCAGCTCCTGAGTGAGCATTTGAGCAAGCAGCATGACCTTGCTGGAAATTCTTGGATGATACAAAGTCTTGTTGTCACTGTAATTACCCAACAATATCATCAGTCTGATGCTTAAAGTATCCAGTCCCAGATAACATCAAAAC